TCCAAGCAGCAAGTAGAGACAAGGTACAATAGAACAGTGGTCAAGCGAACATTTCAAGTAGGAGATTTGGTGCTCAGGCGGGAAGATGTGGGAAATAAGAATGCAAAAGATGGGAAATTAGCAGCTAATTGGGAAGGCCCGTACCGAGTAACATCGGCCACTAATACGGGAGCTTATCAGATAGAGCACTTGGATGGGAAATCTATTCCACGATATTGGAACGCGGGCAAGCTCAAAAGGTATTTCAGTTGAAGAATTCAGAACTTGGTAGAAATGGGAAACAGGCGAGCATTTGTAGTGGTTAGCAGGGTAGGTAATATTTTGAGTTAGGAAGATTAAAGCTTTAGCTGAGTTAAGATAATTCTGATTTAAATTTCGTATAGTATTTAGTATGGATTAATCATATTATGCTCGGTAGCTGATGAATATTTTGTATGTTAACCTTTGAATTCAATAAAGCAAGATTTTCAGAGATGCGGATTCAAGACGGAGCAAAAGTCCCTTGCCGCCTTCAATGACCTCTTGGGCACCCGTTTAATTCCTACTCGGAAGCGGGGTCAAAAGTCCTTTGCCGCCTTCAATGGCCTCTTGGGCACCCGTTTAATTCCTACTCGGAAGCGGGGTGAAAAGTCCCTTGCCGCCTTCAATGGCCTCTTGGGCACCCGTTTAATTCCTACTCGGAAGCGGGGTGAAAAGTCTCTTGCCGCCTTCAATGGCTTCTTGGGCACTCATTTAATTCCTACTCGAAAGCGGGGTCAAAAGTCTCTTGCCGCCTTCAATGACCTCTTGGGCACCCGTTTAATTCCTACTCAAAAGCGGGGCCAAAAGTCCCTTGCCGCCTTCAATGGCCTCTTGGGCACCCGTTTAATTCCTACTCGAAAGCGGGAGCAAAAGTCCCTTGCCGCCTTCAATGGCCTCTTGGGCACCCGTTGAATCCTTACACGGAAGCGGAAAATATTCTCATTTAGATTATTATAAAAACTTCAACGGATTTCGTAGAGTTCCGAAAATATAAGTCGTTATGGGAATATGGCAAAAACAAAGTTTGACCGAGTTGAGTTACAATTTAGACAACAACAAGATTAGTCGGATCAAAGTAAAAGATAGAAACAAACAAAGTAATTAAAAAAGCATTGAAATAGCGAGTAATCAAAGATCCAGCATACACAGTCATTACGAAACAAACAGTCATTCAAGAGAAAATAAAAATAGGTACAAATTAAAAGTGGCATCCCACTCCTTCAAGCATCTTTTGGGGTGTCCTCAGAAGTAGTCTTGTCAGAAGTCGAAGTAGCGCCCACGTACTCGGATGGGCAGGTGGCAAGCACAGTAATGGAACCTTTTTCATTATGGGTGCATAGTCGGCCATTGTCAATAAAGTTGAATGTGTCAATTTTTTCTAAGTTAGGAAGAGCAGATTCCGGGTGAAAGAACTTCACTTGGTCCACAACCCAACCGCGAATTTGATGACCAAAAGCAACATATTTGGCGTCCATGTCGTCGGCAGCTTGCTGCAATGAGGCGACATTTTTCTTCAAGGTTTATACTTCCAGTTCCAATTCAGCTACTCGGAAGTCCGAATCCTCGAAATTTTTCTTCAACATTTTATGCCCCTCAGTCAGCTCGTCATTCTCCCGTTTCAGAGTAGTGGCTCGTCATTTGATTTTTTGGCCAGTTTTTCAGTTTCTTTGAGTTTAACTTGAAAGCCTTGAGCAACAAACTCAGCAGCTTCGGCTCGTTGAGTCAGGCGAGCTTGCTCAGCTTTGAAATTGTTCTTAAAGAGTTGTAACTCTTTAAGTTCAGTCAGCAGTTGTTGACGTTCAGCCAATGCTAAAAGCGCCATCTCATAATAATGGGCTTCACGAAAAGAGTTATCTCGGATATTTGTAAATTTGGCAATTAATTGATCCAAAGAGAACTTATCCCATTTTTCGCGGAGCCCAGGAGTGAAGCAAGGTTGTAACTTCTTCATAAAAGGAGGTTCTGAGAAAGGAGTAGCAATCACAGAAGAAGGATGAGTCAAAGATTTCTCAGTAGGTGGCTCAGGTCCAGGCTCATTAATTCGAACTCGCTTCTTATGTCACAGCTCGCCAGAATCGACAGATGGGTCCATGTCCATTATTACAGTGTCGCTAGGAATAGAACCCGTAGCGGAAGTAGCCGGAATAGAAGAAGGGGTAGGAGAGCCTTCTTTCTCGCTAGAAGCCGAAGAGAGAACTTTATCTCCGGATGCAGCAGAATCATCTTGGCGAGCAGCTTTTTGTTTTTGGCGAGCAAAAAAGGCCGGATCCATGATTTTATCTGAAAGCAAAAGATAACAAATATAAAGTTAAAGGTCGAGTACATATGACAATATAAGGAAAACGGGTAAGTTACTTACTTAATTTCCTGCAAATCCAGTCAGGAGAATCTTTATACCCTAGAATAGACCGAGGAATGATAGAAATATTTTGCTTGGCTAACTCAGAAGTCAAATTTTTGAACCAAGTGAAAGTTTCAAATTCGTCAGTACTCAGATTCTTTGAGTTAGTTAAAAACGATCTAGCAGACGTAGTATAATGATGTTGGTTCCAACTGAGAGGGAATCAAGGAGCTCCGTCCTAATCCAGAAAGAAAGCAGAAGGAGAGGCAGATTGAGAAGAGGAAGAAGAGGTAGATGGTGTAGCCGGAAGAGCTTCAGGTATACCAATTTTGAAATAATCTTCTTTGAAATTTTTCCAGTTGTCTTCATATATAGTACACCAACGAAATCTGGGGCGGGCTTTTAAAGAAACCCAACTATGGCGAGTACTTCCTTTGTCGATCACATTCCGGAACACGGCGAATAGACAGAAAAAGACCCGAAAAGAGTAAGTGAACCCAAAAGATCTATAGATTATCTCGAAGGTATGTAAGAAACACCAGCTGTTTGGATGAAGTTGAGAGGGGCGACTTCAAGATGATTTAGGACGTCCATTTGGAACTCGGTGAAAGGTAGGGTTATCTTGAGCTCGAAAAATAAGCATTTATAGGCAAAAAAGAAAGAATTCTCACCTTGCCCGGAAGGCGAACAGATACGTTCCTCTTCTCCGGGTATAGCAACTCGAAAAGAAGTGATAATGGAGTCACGGAATAAAGGGATTGATAGTAAGGCGTTGTGAAGATTACTTGGATTGTTTTCATACGAAGAACGAAGTCCTAGAGCTTATTCATCAACCCATTCTAAACCTTCCACAGTAGAAGGTATGGCGAAGCGAGAAAGTGGAAGCGAACGGTAGGGGCGATTCCCCGGCGGCATGGCCTGGACGGAAAGGTACCAGTAAAATCTAGTTTAGAAGATATATTACAAGTTAAAATTTCAACTGAAGAAGATGGTGGTTATAAGTAGATTCCTAATCCGTCCAAAACCAATAAAGCCGGTAAAGGAACATTAAAGAAGATGAAGGTACAAAGACAAAGAAAGTCTTTTTCAGGAGAATAAGCAAGTTTGCTATGGTAAGGCTTAAAGATGCAGTTAACAGTTTTTAGAGTAAATGGCAAAATTAGGCAAGAAAGAAGAAAATAGCGCAAGCATCAAAATAAAGGAACTTACTTGTATAATTTGATGAAGAACAACAATCAAAGGTAGCAGTGTCATAGCAAGGTCCGCACGAGAAACTCAAAGAAACCCAGAAAGAAGCAAGAACAAGAAAAATTCAAGAAGAGGAGAAAGAAGAAGAAAGCGCAGAAGAAAAGAATAGGCAAATGATGAAAAAGGGTAAATGGGAAAAGTTAAAACGCTAGCGGTAATAAAAGAAGGTGAAAAAGTAACTGGCGTTTCAAATTTCGAAATGTAATGATGGCTGTCAGGTCATGTTGTTTCGGATAAGCAACCGTTTCGAAGATCAAGACAGTAAGAAAGGGACAAATGGCAATCAGAAGCTGAGTAAGCAGGAAGCATTTAATGAAGATGCAGAAAGAAAATAAGTAAGGGAAAACATAAGAGATAAATAAAGAATTAAACTCGGAGTAAAATTGCCATTAAACTCCGAGCTTGGGGGCTCAATTTTCCGGGTTTATACGTCCGGGTATTGATAGTCGAAGAATGCGGTTAGAGGAACCCAGAAGGTGTTTTACTCGGATGGTTATCCAGTCAATCCAAGTAGTGGAACCCAAGGTGGGTCCTACCACGATTACATGATGGTATTAATAACTACCCACGTTTAGAATAACTACCTATGTAAGGGCTATATATACCAAGAATAATAGCCCAAGAAGGATAGATTTGAACCATACCATATCCATACTGATGTTTATCATGAACAAAAGGACATAAACTTATATCCTTTAAAAGAATAAATAATTTTTCTTTATTTAAATATAAGTATTTATTAATGAGCAAAAGCTCAAATAGTATGTCGAATTGTCGATCATGTTAAAGTTCATACATGAGAATATACTATCCTTAAGAATTCGTATACATTCATATATCCAATTATTAACCAATAAATTACTTAAAAGTATTTTAAAGAAGATACATTGTGCAAGTTTGTTTTTGAAATTTTATTTTATTTTTTAAAGTTTTAAGAAATAATTTTTTTTTATTTTTTATAACATTAAGAAATAATTTACAAAAACATAGGTACTACACTCCCGAGATGTTGCTCTTTTCACTGAGAATTTAGGGTTTACGGATTAATTTGAAACATCGGTGTTGCTCTTAGCACGTCACACTCGTCCACGAGTCAAAGTCACATGTTATGTGGCACTTAACAAGCAAGTTAAAACGTGCCTAACCAATACCATGGCCTAACGTACATGACAGATGCAAAGTTTGAGAACTTTGTAAATTAAAAGAACAAGAAAAAATTAATGTGACAATAATTGCTTTTTTATGGTTCTTGTTTTTGTTTTTTTCCATGCAAATTGTTCAAAACAAAACAAAAATAAAAACAAAACAAACATAAAAAATGAGGGTGAAATGGTAAACTAAACGATGGGGACAACGCTTGACCTTGAAGTCTCAAGCAGATCAATACAAGTACAACAAAACCAACCCATCCACAAAAATCACAAACACATCCATGGAATTCAACACAACACATCTCTAACTCCTTCCTTGTATGGTCCCTACGATTCACACCCCATCAAAATCCCAACTTTGCTTCAAAAATCACAGTTTCAGGAACAGCCTCTTCAAATTTTGATCTTAATCCCTTCAAATTCACACCCTACAGATACTTTCAGCTTTTCTCGCAATTGGGTTTTCTAAAAATCTTATTTTTTTTGCTTCTGCGTTTCTGAAAGCCATGAATTTCAGGAGCATGGAAGATTTCTGGGCTTTTTATATGACCCAGCATTCAAAACCATCCACTAGGCGTTGGCACTTTGTGGGCACGCTGTTCAGTATTTTCTTCTTGCTCTGTTCAGTTATCTTCAGTTGGTGGTTTTTGTTCTTTGTGCCTTTTTCTGGGTATGGATGTGCCTGGTACAGTCATTTCTTTGTTGAAGGGAATGCTCCAGCAACTTTTGGGCACCCCTTATGGTCACTCTTGTGTGATTACAAGATGTTTGGGTTGATGCTTACTGGGCAAATGGATAGAGAGATCAAGAGGCTTGGGAAAAGACCTGTGCTGCAAGTGTTCTGATTTCCATGTTAGCTTGGTCCCTGTTGTTTGAGGTGAGTTTGCATCTGAACTTTTCTGTGTGCATGTGTGTGTGTGTTTTTTTTAAATAATTTTTTGTTTCAATTACATTTTTTTTTTTCTTTTTAGTGTGGGTAGAGCAATGTTTTTGTCATCAACTTGATTGGTTATAAATGATTTTGCTGAAATATATTGATAACTGAATGAACCCAATGTGTGTTTGAGTGTGATACTGTTGGATTGAATGACTTTGCTAAAAATATCACTGCTGATGCTGAATGAAGCCATGATTTCAAAAGAATTAGATTAGTATAATTTGGTTTAACTTATTCTATATGTTCCGATACATAGATGTTGAAATTGTGTTGATAACGCCTGCAAAACCTGAAAATCAAAGGCAATAACATTTTCTTAAGTAGACAATGCACTGCAAAAACATAGAACAGAAGCAGTATTAATAGAGGAATTTGCTCTTTGAGCTAATTTCGTTGGATAGTGGCGACCATCTGTTATGGTTCTTAATTCTTTAGAGATTGAGGCTTGTAGAATTTAAAAGGAAGAATTGTAAATGGAAGGAAAGTATTTGTTTATTGATGAACAAAGACGAAAGAGCATTAGAGAGAAATTTCTCTTGCCAAGGGGAACTCCCCTTTTCCACTGAGCACTCTCAGCTAATATTCAAAAGGAAATCCAATTCCCCCAATATAGAGGACAACTCCTCCTTTTATACAAACAAAACCTTCCTCCTAACTAACCATTCCCCTCCTAACTAACTTTCTAATGACTAAGTATATTTACTAAGAATTAAGATGTATGAATGTATTGTATTCAATTGTGTATAGAACTGTTCAAGAGTCCTCTATTTAAAGAGGTTAAATGACCTAATGGGCCAAGCCCAAATAACCTTCTAGAATAATAGAATAATAATAATAAAATACAATACTATTTCTAACACTCCCCCTCAAGCTAGTGTGTATATATCATAAGCTCCCAGCTTGTTACATAAATGATCTATTCGGGGACCTCTAAGAGCCTTGGTGAAAACATCTGCAAGTTGATCACTGGAATTGACAAATGCTGTCTCGATCTCTCCTGACTGAATCTTCTCTCTAACAAAGTGATAGTCAATTTCTATATGTTTAGTCCTCTCATGAAATACTGGGTTAAAGGATAGGTGCAATGCTTCTTGATTGTCATAAATGAGTTTCATGGGCCGTCGTTCACAAAGATGTAGTTCCTTAAGTAATTGTTTTAGCCATATAAGCTCACAGGTTGCATTTCCCATTGCCTGATATTCTTCCTCTGCACTTGACTTGGCGACTACAGTTTGCTTCTTACTCTTCCAAGAGATAATCTCGAGGTGGATCGTCTGTTTGCAGGATAACCTGTCTAGTCAGCATCTGAATATCTAGACACCTTTGCATTTCCTTTATTTGTGTATAATAAAACTCTTCCTAGTGCTCTTTTGATATATCGAAGAATCCTGATAACTGCATCCTAATGAGAATCACAAGGAGAGTCAAGAAATTGACTTGCCACACTAATTGCAAAAGAGATGTCGGGCCTTGTCACAGTAAGATAGTTTAACTTTTCAACTGTAACGACCAGGGTCTGCCAATGGCTCCCCCTGTTCAGGTAATAGCTTAACATTAAGATCCATAGGTGTATCAATGGGTTGACATCCCAACATTCCAGTCTCATCAAGGATATCCAGTGCATACTTCCTCTGACAAATGGAAATGCCCTGCCTAGATTGTGCCACTTCGATTCTTAAGAAATATCGAATGCTGCCAAGATCTTTGGTCTGAAACTATAAGTATTTTTTTAATTGATCAATCCCAGCTTGATCGCTGCCAGTAATAATTATGTCATCAACATAGACCAGGAGATATATACACTGGCCAGAAGAGCTATGCCGATAGAAGACAGAATGATCGGCTTTACTTCGGGTTAAACCGAAGGATTGAATAGCGGAACTAAAGTGACTAAACCAAGCTCGAGGAGACTGCTTCAGGCCATATAAAGATTTACGAAGCTTACATACCATTCCAGAACTCTCCCCCTGAGCAACAAAACTTGGTGGTTGCTTCATATATACTTCCTCCTGTAAGTCACCATGTAAGAAGGCGTTTTTGATATCAAGTTGAAGAAGCGGCCAATGATGAATGACAGCAAGTGCAAGAAACAGGCGAATAGAGGCCATCTTAGCAACAGGAGAAAAAGTATCCCCATAGTCAAGACAAAAAATCTGAGTGTATCCCTTGGCCACTAATCGAGCGTTGAGGCGATCAACAGTGCCATCAGGACAAACTTTGTCTGTGAATACCCATCGACAATTGACAACCGACTTCCCGGGAGGAGCACGAACAAGATCCCATGTGCCATTGGAGTGAAGTGCTGTCATTTCATCAATCATCACCTGACACCAACTCGGATGAGATAGTGCTTCAGTTGTGGTCTTAGGAATAGAAACAGACGAAATACTAGAAATAAAAGTAAAATGTTGTGAAGAAAGTTTATCATAACTCAAGAAACTGTAAAGTGGATGAGGGTTGCGAGTGGATCGAATACCTTTGCGATGAGCAATGGGAGTAATCTCGGATGGAGGATCCGGAGGGGAAGAGTCGACAGGAGAAGACGATGAGTCAACAAGGGTAAGTCCACAGGAGGTGCAGTCTGACGACGCTGATAGGTGAGAAAAGGGCGGTTCTCAGGAATGGAGGCAAGGGGTCGCTCCTCTGGGATAGAGTCACTTGCAGCTGGTAAAGACAAGTCAAGAGAAGGAATAGGAAGAACTTGATCAACCTGTGTTATCTGAGACGAGATAGAATGAAAAGGTTGTTGATCAAGAAAAGTGTCATCAGCGGAAACAATATAATGCTTGAGATCGGGAGAGTAGCAGTGATACCCCTTTTGAAAACGAGTATATCCAAGGAAAATACACTTGAAAGCTTTGGATGTTAATTTGTCTTTCCCTGGAGTAAGATCATGAACAAAGTAGGTACATCCAAATACATGGGGAGGCAGAGGATAGGAAGACGCTCTTGGAAATAATACACTATGTGGAACTTCATTATTTAGCACGGAAGAGGGCATGCGATCGATGAGAAAGCAAGAGGTGATTATAGCATTTGCCCAAAAACGAAGTGGAACATTTATATGAATTAGAAGGGTACGTGCATTTCAACCAGATGCCTATTTCTATGTTTGGCCACTCCATTTTGTTGTGGAATGTGCGGACAAGTGGTATGGTGTAACGTCCTATGTTTTTTCAAAAAATTAGAAAACTCAAGAGACACATACTCTTTTGCATTATCACTGCGCAAGATTTGAATAGAAGCACCAAATTGAGTATTTATCTCAGAACAAATTTTTTGAAGAATTGAAAATATTTCATAACGGTTTTTTCATTAAATAAACCCAAGTACAACGAGAGAAATCATTAATAAATGTTACAAAATACTGAAAACCCAAAACAGATATAGTTCGACTCAGACCCTAAATATCAAAATGAACAATAGAAAATGGAGCATCAACTCTTTTATTGACTCTATTAGCAAAGGAGGAGCGGGTGTGCTTTCCTTGCTGATAAGACTGACAGTTTAAAGACTTAAGATTAGATAAAAAAGGAACCATATGCTGAAGCTCGGAAAGACTTGGATGTTCTAGATGACTGTGAATTAGTTCAGGAGACTCCATGAGAGAGCACGCTACCGGAGAAGGTGGTTCAATCAAATTGTAGAGACCTTGTGACTCAATGCCCGCTCCAATCGTCTTCCCCGTACCCGGATACTGCAAAGAAGAAAATTGTTTAGAGAAGGTAACAGTACATGAAAGAGAATGAATCAACTGGCTAACAAAGATTAAATTGAAGGGAATGCCAGGTATATAATAAACAGAGTTCAAAGTTAAAAAGGGAGTTGGGTTGGCTTGCCTAACTCCACGAGCAGGAGCCTTAGTGCCATCAACAAGAGTTATAGAAGGTAGATTATTGAATAAGAAAGCGAAGTGAAAAGATTCTTACTACCACAAAGGTGATTAGTAGCACCTGAGTCTATTATCCAGGGTCCAAGAGATGATTGAGAAAGACAAGCAACATGATTACCAGTGTCTTGAGTAGGACGCTGGGAAGAAACCTTCTTGAGAAGTGCCTCATAGTCGGCACTCGAAAGAGTTACTGATCCAGTAGAAGGTGGTGTAGCATCTGTCTGAGCCAAGTTGGCAGTTTGTGGCTTCAAGTGAGGGTACTTCCTATAGTAATGTTCTTCAAAATGTCCAAGATTCTGGCAATAATTGCAACAGGGCCTCTATTCGCGGCCACCTTGTCCACGACCACGTACGCGTCCACTGTTCCAATTGGAATCATTGGCACGAGAAATGAACGCAGTTGAATCGGTGCCTGGTGCATGTGTGAGTGCTGCTAATTTGTCCTTAAGATTCAGAAGGCGTTGGAAAATGTGTGATAGGCTAGGAGTCTCAGCACTGGTTAGAATATTCTCACAAACACTTTTTAACTCCTCTGAAAGGCCGAAAAGGGTCACGACCATAAATAAGCGCTCCACCTGCTTCTTGTATGCAGATGCATCTGCAACATGAGGTAACATAGCTAAGAATTCCATAATCAAAGAACGAATCTCACCAATATAAGTCTCTATTCGAGCATATGGTGATTTGCACAATTCCATTATCTGAAAAACAATGGAATAAAGCTGCTGAATGTCATTGGTGTAGAGATTTTTGGCTTCCTCCCATACGTCATAGAAGGTCTCAAAAGGGATGAAAATGTCTATAACTGCCAGATCAAAGGATACTTAGCAGTTGGGCATCAATCTTTTCCCATTCAGATATCTGATCCTTTGGAATATTGGCCGACTTGGTCGTGAGATGTTTCCCGTGTCCCTGACCAGTAAACTAGATCTTAACGGAGGTAGACCAAGTCTTGTAAGTAGCAGATCCAGTCAGTTTCATTGTTGTAATGGATGGGTAGTGTTGGAGATGTTGCCGGTAGTATTTTGGAGATCATTACTTGAGCTCTCCATAGCAAAAATAAATGAGATGACCAGAAAATAGCAAGGAACTGCAAGGAAACAAGAAATATCGCAAAAACATTGCAAAAAGATGTCCAAATAGTGGGTTTTTCGCCGATATCTTCCTAACGGATGGGACCCACAACGAATGAAGACCAGATCTGGAAAGAGGACAAGAAGGCGAGTTGTTTTGTCTTGGAATGGCCGGAAAAGGATGCGTGAACAGTACCCGTACAGACGCAGTGAACAGTACTCGTACGGACGCGATGAACAGTGACCGTATGGACGCGCAAACAGTAACGTAAATGAACAGTACCGCATGAACAGTTGCAGAAACAAGTCGGAGGGATGCATGACGTAGAGGAAGGAGAGAACACCTAAGCAATGGGTTTAGGGTTTTAGTGGAAGCGAAAGTTCCCAGAACAAAAAGCTCTGGTACCTAATTAAGATGTATGAATGTATTGTATTCAATTGTGTATAGAATTGTACAAAAGTCCTCTATTTAAAGAGGTTAAATGACCTAATGGGCCAAGCCCAAATAACTTTCTAGAATAATAGAATAATAATAATAAAATACAATACTATTTCTAACACTAAGGAATATTCTTTCCCTCCTAATAGAAGTTATATCACCATCATAACCTTGAAAAGATTGCACAAGAACAATGTGGGAGGATATTACTTATCTTTGCTTCTACATTTCAAATGGTATTATCGTATGAAGTTTCCGTTGTCTTCCTTTTTATTTCATCTTAATCTCTATTTGTTTGGCTGACCCTAGAGATTCAGAAAGGGTACTTGTTTTATGGGTTAGGATTGTTTTGTGGCCTCTCTTTGGTTTTCTTCCCATGGTTTTCTTGTACAGAATTTCCCTTACTGGTATGCAGAGAGATTGAAGAGCTATTTTGCACTGACGACCTTTATTTGTTTATTATTGTATTTGTGCATGAGAATCTTATCCTCCATTTCTTCTTTATAATCTTTCTTCTCTAATGAAATGTTTTTCTAAAAAGAAATCATCTATAAAATAGAACTGTTGGATCTTTTGCTGAAGTATGACAGTAGATGTGATGTTCTTCACTGTCATTGTTCATTCAATGAATCTTTCAGATTGGTTAAGTGCAATCAATTGTTTAGTTCCACCATTGATTGAGATCTTCTTGTGTCATTTATGTTTATAGGTATTTACCAACAACTTTATTGTGCTTGTTGTTTGGTAGCATATTTTTTTTTGCATTTGTGAGAATGCTACGACAAGAGATACCCAAGAAAAAGGCATTTAGATATCTAGGACCAATCTTGCAAAAGGGGGAGAGATTGATGAGGGTATATGCCATAGAATTAAAGCAGGTTGAATGAAATGACGCAATTATGATTGTAAAATCCTTCTGAGGATAATTTTTTTTTTTTTATAGAACAACTGTAAAGATTGCAATGCTATATGCAGCTTAATGTTGGCCAATAATATATATATATATATATATATATATATATATATATATGAGCATAAAATGTGAGTAGGGGAAATGAGGATATTAAGGTGAATGTTTGATCATACAAGTATGGATAAAATAAGAAATAAAGATATTTAATAAAAAGTTGGAGTTGTATTGGTGGAAGAAAAAATAAGAGAACATAGTTTGAGATGATTTGGACATGTTCTTCAAAGACCCTTATATACTTAGGTAAGAAAAGAAGTTTCTTACTGAGAACATGACATAAAGAATGAAAGTGGGTGGTCGGAACTTATCTAGGAGAAAATAGTAAAACAAGACTTAATGAAATGGAAAATAAATTGACCTGCAATTTGACTTAAGATGGAGTGGAGCAAAGCTATTTGCATTGTGTAGGCGCGTAAAATTTGTGCTATTAAATTTTTCTTTTTCTTCTTCTCCTCTCTCTATCTATTTTTCTCTCAATAATTAATTACTTTTAATTTTTAATTTTTCTCTGTTTTTATTTATTTATTTTTCCTTAATATGTTCTTGCTAACCCCAACTTGTTTGGTATGAAGGTGATGTTAATGTTGATGTTTGGTTGCAAATATTTCATTTCATTCTTTGACCAAATTTTTTTTGCATTTTTTCTTCTGTTTCCAACTTTGTGTAGGAAAACTCACTTTTTTGAAGTTAGATGTTTTCTACTAGAATTATGAGCTTTAGAAGGCTCTAATTCAGTATGTTTAGAATCCTATTATGAGGCTTATAGGAAGTTGTAGAGGTGTCAATCCATTTTGTTCTTATGTTGATAGTATGTGTGCAGGTTTGTGAATATATGATTTTGAATTTTGAAGTGTTTCAGACCAACACCGGTACTGGAAATATTGTAGTGCAGAGATGCATTCATTCAAAGTCGTCAGCGAGGATGATGGTGTTTTGTGGAGATGGCTGTGTGATGTTCAAAAATAAATAATATGATATGAAGTGTACATGACACCATTGAGTTGGACTTCACTGATCTGGGATGCCATATTTAGTTGTGATATCTTGGTCTATATGTATATTGAAAGTTGAAACATTTGTTGCTACTTGCTACCAATTATTACGTCTCAGTTCAATAAAAACTACCAATTCCCAGCAAACTCTGCTTACGGATATAATTTGCAAACTTGTTTATTGCAACTTCATTGGCAATAGATAAATAAGCAAGCAATAATATCAAATTGTCTATAGAATGTCTAGGAAATAAAATTATTTCCTAGGATTCATGTGGGGTCATATCATATGAGGAAAAAAAAATGAATCATATACACTTTTATCTGTGTATGAGATAAAATTATCTCGTATAGCATAAAAAATATTATACCCAATATTTTATTAAAAACTCTCCTAAACATTTAATATTTTAAGTTTTTGGTAAATAAGCAAGGGAATGCTTAAATTTCCACCCAAAAGCTCTTACCTTCCTCATATGAGCAAGGTATATGAGTAACACAGATACCATCCCGATTCACCAGTTTACTAATGTGCCATATTGTTTCTTCCTTGATTAGGCAATCTCCAAGCCTAAAAATATGGTATAAATCAACTATGTAACAACAATGAAAAATCGTTTCAATGATCAAATTTCAAATATATAGTTGACATTCATAGTTGTGACAATTAGATCAAGATGATCCCCACCATCAACATTTTCTGCCAAGACAAGGGTATATCAGTGGAGAAGAAAAAAAATTTGAATTAAAAATATTTTCTGTGGATATCCATTTTCGTGGTGACGGATCAGATACCCCAACACAGTAAAAGAACTAAGTTTACATTAGACAGCAAACAAGTGTACGATGCTAAAGTTAAAAAATTTCATAAATGTCAACAACATCAGCACATCCTCTGGGCTCCTCAATGAGGTACAAACAAATAACCATGAAATGATGCGGTAATATAGTTAACCCCTTCTTTTTATCCCCAGGTTTTAGATGAATGAACCAGAAGAATTTATTCATAAACTCTTCCGTGAGTTTGTTATGGAGACAGCCAACAGATTGATCCATCCTTGTCATCAAGAATCTGAATCTTCCAATATAGTGTTGGCTCCACAAGCATAGTATGGGTGTCCCCATTAACATCACCAATGGTTGTATTAGGTCCTAGATAGACCGTATTGCTATACCGTATGGTATGCGCTCAGAGATAGTGTATATCAGATGTATACTAGGCTTATAGTCGAGGTCTCAATCACTGCGCACAAACAATAGACTTATAGCCAAGGAGGTGGGTGTGTGCACAGTGTGGGCAGTATTCGTAAATAGGTCAAAAGTGTTTACATGGGGTCTTTAGGCTCTTATTTATAGGATTACTTTTCTAGGGTTGGGCCCTTTGAACTCTCCCAATTGCAGTATGATTCAACTCCTTTTCTGTTGGGATATGATTCTTATCTTGTGCCCTCTGACTGTTATAGAGTTGTTGAGATGCACATGAATCTATCTCTTAATAGATTCTTAGATGAGTAGTTGGGATATGATATTCATATCCATAACAGGTTGGACCTATAGGAACATGATATCAGGTGTGATATTATCAATCAAGTGTTATACATGATGGGAATCAGCCCAATAGTTGAACATGCAGTGAGAAATGTGGAATGAATGCTCCAACTTGAACCTACTTTCGATCTCGAAGTCACCCTCTGTGTTCTTTGGATTTTTCGGTTTGATCTAGGTAAAAATGGCTTCAAACACCACTAAAACCTCTATGTCTTCTCTCGCACGCTAACAATCACTTCAGAAAAATTAATGGTAAGATCTATTTAGCTTGATCAGTATGGTTTATAGGTTAGAGTCTTTTTTATCTCCTTGAAAAAAATTAGTCTCTGATATTCCCTCACAAAATCAAAATCTGTAGGAAAAAAACTTTGGAGTAACGTTTAATATCGGTCTAATTAAACCGACTTATTGGACTCGAACCATGTAAAAGAATTAGATTTTTTTGGAAACGAAAACATGGCTTTAGGTAAACAGTTAACTTAGATATAATACTAACAGAGCTTACAAGATTTGCTACTGTATACCCTCTTACAAGATAAGACAGTATCGAGAAGTATTCGTCAAATCAATCAATAAGAGTAGACCAAGCTGGATGGTATCGAGAACCTTAACATGCTTGGTATGTCTTCTACTACAAACCTTAACATGCTTGATACCCTCTTTCTTCTTTCTTCGTTTTCTAAGAATCTATATATTCCTTTCATTTAGATTGCTCCTGCACTTAAAATTAAATGAGAAAGTAGCAGAGGATTCAGACTGAAATCTAACGAAAAATAACATTTTCCGAATAAATTCTACTTACTTTTCTCCCTAAAACTCTCTGTTGATGCAACACTTGTTTAAATGAGTATCTTTTACCAGAAGCAATGTAGTGTGATTAAACGATTCACCAAGTGGAACCTTAGAAGGTATCATGCAACAAATTTCTTGGCCAAATGAAGGGCAATCCAACCAACCTGCATGTAAATTACAAAATGATAATACAGAATAATTTTTACCTTACATTTACAACCATCTTAATCCATCACATAAAATATATTGTAAATATCTCAGATATGACTCGAGAAATATAAAATAGCTATCCATCAGCATTTAGTAAATAGAAAATCCTCTAATGTCATGTACTTACTGTATCACACAACCTCCACTCCCAGCCCCAAAAGAACTCAAGCTGCTCATAACTGACAAAAAATCAAGCCAAACTTATTTACCAAAAAACAAATGTTAAAAGAAATTAAGAAAATAAAATTGTGACAAACGATGAATATCCTACAGAATATTCCAACATAAGTATAGAAATAGAATTGTACTAAGAGATACCTGGATTTACCATTTCTGTGAAGAACAGCATTATGTGAAAATACTATATTATTGGGAGGAAACATGAATGAAATAATATCACTAATTACCACAACCAAGGTAGCAAGTTGACCAGGTAAACAAATCCTTACCTGGAGGAAGCTTACTTCTATCATATGTTTTAAGGATCTTGGTTTGAAATAGCTGATCATATACAGGCGACTGTGATACTTGCACAGGTCAGTCATCTGATCGTTCTCTCTTCAGCCGCCACTTTCTTTCCTCACGTTCCTAAAAAGAAGCAAGAAATCAGCAGTTGTGTTAATGAAGAGAGATTAAAAGGTAAAATACATTTGAATACTTATGGAGCCCAAAGTATTGGGTGGAAAATGTGGCATGGATATGATTTATGATAGGAAGGCAAAAAAGAAATCTTGTCGGCACTCTAACCAGTTTTGGTAAAAAATTAACATAGCAAAGATTGAATTTCAGGGCTGTGATTTTCCTTTTTATTTTAATATTTTCTATCTATCAATTAACTTCATTGTATAAGAAGTGGGAAGAAAGAGGGAGAAGCAGAGGGAGGGATTGAGAGAAAAGATTCTTGGTATTCAAATTATAGGATCCTCTGCAAAATCCTAGATCATTCAAATTCAAACATTGTATCTAAGCATCTTCAAAAGTCTTGTTAAATGGGACAATTGATAATAAATTAGTAATGACTCGTTGTGGGGCATAAATTGACATGAAAAAGGTGTTAAATTATATGTTAAAATCAACATACATATCATGTATGGGAATTTTGATGAAACATTAAAGTGTTGAAGTTTGTTATTTAACATTTGGAATGTGACATACACGGTATTGGATTTATTGGTAATAAATCTGGTTTGAGCCAAGTGATATTCGACAAAGAGATCAAGCCTTGGAGGTGCTTGGTTAGTTTTCTTGGAATACAAGTAAGCTTGGATTTTGGAACTTCAAGAGGTAAGCTCCCGATTTAGGGGTTTTCTTGTCTTTGGATGTTCCACCATGATCCATTTGGACGATGGTTTGATGTGTATACTCTGTATTGAATGTAGAAACATAGTATAATTGCATTCATATAGGATATGGATATGTAACTACATGATATGATGAACTCTATGAGAGTATGTGTTGCGTAAACGACAAGTGTATCGTTCGTTTCAAGTAATAAAATGATGAGTAGAGTATCGTCTCCACGAGGATTGAGGCACCGAATTTATTATAACTATCCCTCTCTTGTTGGATTAATAAAATTGGTTTAAAGAACAATTGTGGTTTGTAATAAGCAAGAACAAATCAAGAAAGTAAAATTAATTTCCAACATGCTTTTTAAACTCAAGAACAAAAGATTAATGGTTGAGAAAATATTTGAGAGAATATTGCAGTATAGAGAAACAACACCTTAATGATCCCCACCTTGTATCCTGAATTAAAGTTTACATTCAATTATGCAATTGATCAAACGATTCACTATCTTTTATTTAATTGGTTAAGCCTTAATTCCTTAATGACGTTAACCTTATTAACTTTATTAGAATCCTAATCCCTTAGAAATCTCTTTTCAAGTTAAGCTTTAGAATCAGTGAATCTTTCACACCTGCGGTTCATGTAGCCTATCCTTAGTACATACATGAACAATTATCTTACCTCTTGTCAGGAATTAGAATCCCAATATTCCTATTGAAAACCCTAACCCTCGCAATCCTAATAGAGTGATCGGTTCTAGAAGAATTGTAAGATGAAGAACAAGGTAAAATAAACTCAATTGAAATAAATGAATATAAAATTAACCAAATCACAAGGGGTTCACATTAAGGGTTGTGACCCTTACCACAATAATAGAAGACTAGTCAGACATACTCATGTTTGACAAATCAAATAATGTAAAGGAATTCATAAAAGAATAAAACCAGAATATACAGAAGATGAAGAAGAATCATGAATCTTCAGCCTTCCGTATCCCAAAAGCTTTCTCTCAATTTTGTGTCTTGTAATTTTCCAGCCAAAGAAAGATCCCCCCTTTAGGGTTTCTGCTTCCCTTTTTATATCCAATTGCCCAATCAGGTCATAATCTTCTGAGAGATTTGATTTTATTTCTGTTTTTAGCAAATTCCACTAATTCAGGAACTATACTCACGACGCCCGCGCGATCAGCGCCAACTACGCGCGATCTGCGCGGAAGATCAGTAAAGAATTCCTGTGATTGGCGCGATCAGCGTGGATGTCACGCTACTTGCGTGAAGAGGCAGTGGTGTTGGCCCTTT